TGAACATGAAGTTGCTGTGATATTTGATCTAGGTAGGACAACGCTGGCGACCTGCTTGCATGACCTGGGGGACAGACGAACTCAAGTCATCCATTTGGCCCTCTTTGGGGAAAACACGCCATGTTACATATCTCAACCCATTTTGATGGCCCAGATAGCCTGTATAGCTTCTTCTAGGCGTCCTGTAATGGGCCGTTAAGGTATGGGCATTAAATTTACCTCACTTCGTGCCCTTGGTATCATGATGTGGGATTGCTCGCTTGGAGTTCCGTATGGGGAAGGTATTGAGCATGAGTGAATTACGATACCAGAAGCCTGGGTCGAAACGTTTGTACTGAGTTCCCGGACAATAAGACCTCGTGCTATCTTGCCCTAGTGGAAACCATTCCGAGAATAGTGTGCTGTAGCTCAAGTTCTGCCGGATTCATGCTCAACCGTGACCCATCACAGGCTGTGATAGGGAGTGACGTACCTGCGGATTGCTAGAAGTAATCATAGCCGTCGTATGAAGCCCTTGAGAATAATCAAGACTTCACGTTGCAATGAAAAGACTGCTCTGACTAAACGGTATATTTAACTGCCCAAAATTTAAGAGAATTACCTTGAAGCTACGTGTGACAACAAAGTTTGAACCTCGCCTGAAAGTCTAGTTTGGCTAAGTAAAGTCGCGTGAGGTAGTAGAGCTGTCACCACTCCGTCCTTCAGATCTCTTGACTTGCCATGACGAGCGCTTTATGCCCCAGACCCTGCGACGTCGTATTTTTGACCACCCAGGATACCCTGGAATTCTTGAGCGGACCTAATTTCTATCCCTCAGTGGTAGAAATTGACTTCTAGTTTAGATGAATCCAAACAATTGAGGTATTGAAACAGTTCATTCACCATATATTTGTTGCCGACAGACAAGCAAGTTCCTTACGCGTTTCGTTTTGGTCGACTCGAAGAGGTAGGAGCCTTGAGAGAAAGAGTGCTATGGTCGAGATCATGGAACCTGAATGCATTTACTTCCAGAAGGACTTCAGTTTCCCTGAAGGCTAGTTCCTCGTGATCTCATAACATTTGTCTTGTACGTGTCTACATGGAGAGAAGAGGATGGGAACAACACCTGACGCACTATAATTACGGGGGTGACCGCACGCTTCTGTGATCTCAGCGAATTGGTGAACAAATAGGAAGATCTCATCTTGCGATCTTTTCAACAATGAAGTCACATGCCCTGGGTTCATCCTGGAGCTTCCGGAGTGGTGAAATCCTGATCGAAGGGGTACTGAGCTAAGGTACCCTCAATGGGCTAACGCCCAAGGCTGTTGTCTGTACTCAACGCGAATTATGAAGTCTTTGAAATTATCTGATTGATTACGATAAAAAAACAAGCCGTATGGTCCAAACTTTTATTTAGCGAGTCAAAGTCAGGCTGTGGACGATGGGCCGGGCTCAACCGTTACGACATCGGAAGACGATCCAGTTTTTCTTCGAAGGGACTCGATGCTGCTACTTACTAGACTACTTATAGCTCATCAAGGCAAGTGTATTGCTCGAAAGAAGATATGAACGCTGGAGAAAAAACCAGGCTGCACTTCAACTTGATTTAACACACGACACAATCGCAGGAGAGGGTGCTTGTGTCGCACACGGCTCGTGGGATTGGTATCCCTCAATCTCTGTCCATCTATTAGTCGCTGCTTTTCATTTATGCTATCCCGGGCATCCGACTGGGCTAATCGGCCAAACTCAGAGCTGAGTTGCCCATGTTTTCGATGGTGGTATTACTGCTGTGGGACTTGCGAAATCGCCATGATTTGACCGAGTCCCTGCTTCGTACCAGGATCAAAAGCGCGTAACGCAAGTACCTAGTTGCTACGGATCTATCCGGAGCCAATTCCGTCATAACCAATGGAAAACCCTAAGCTTCACCACATCATGAGCAGGGAGCCGCAATAGCGTGGGACAGGGCCAATTGTAGGGCCATCAACTAGTGCGATGCCGGTAGCCAGTTGCCAATAGTCCTAACAGGCTGTCAGGCTTTTCTGGCTTATCCACGAAACGTACTTCTATGGAGCTGAAGGGGATCTACCAGAGTGAGATGCAGTGGCGTGCGTGGTCATGAAGAGAGACGGAATACAGGCGGTGTTTCGCTGCGGGCGAATGGACCGATGTGGCAGGTCGAAGCGAGGATCATCACTAAAGCTACGATGTTCTCACCCATTGATCAAGCTGTTTGGGGGTAATCGGTCCAGGTGTGAGTAAACACATCGAGGTGGCCAAGGTCGTAACCAGAGTACTGGTTTCTAGAGCATCGTGAAGAACAATGACGCCTACGAAAAGATCACATGGGTTCGGACTGCTGCGCGTGTCGTTCATTCGGGGCGAAGCTCTTCCTGCAGCCTGCAGCTTCAGTGTACGGGCACGATGCGCAAATGTGAGAGGTGAGAGGCGGTGGAGTCGATGAGACGGGCGCGATCGATCTGTCTAGGCCACTGTGATCGCCATTTAGAAGAAGCTTTTTCTGTGGTGCCATCCCACGATAGTGGTGTTCGTTTGTCGTGTTGTTGCTACTGGTAATTTTCCATGGCGATTGTCGTTACCGATATCGGGCAGGTCTGCCGTAAGATCCTCATGAATGTGCTTGAGGCACTGAAGACTGAAGTGGTATACTACGAATGATGCGCGCGGATGTTAATGTCTGACATGTATCATTCTGAGGTGCCACAGCTACTGAGAGATTGGCATAGCCGCACGGCATTTGGTCTCAACTCCATGTATGGAATCTTGTGATAGGACCCTCCCAGCTCTTGCTGCTTGACGGCTTCTTGTGAGGAATCTGGTGCATTCGGGTTGGGAAGTACTGTAAGGAAGGTAGCTATAGTCATCAAATGGCCTGCAGCAAAAAGGCCACCAGCAGACAAGGGCTTAATGACTACCTATGGATGCGTCGTCAACGCCCTGCTGGTCAAAATGCACAATCAGGCCTGGGACTCAGGGTGGCACGTGGCTAGGTATCACTCGCGAGTCGCCGGAATCAAAGTGCCAAGTCTCAAGATGTGATTCGATCTGTAAGATACCTAAGTCATGAGAAAGCTTGGTTTTCACGCAGAGTGACCATTGGAGCCACGACATCGGGCGGAATGCTCAAAGACGTGGCGGTTGGTGGTGATCGGGCGTGTCGGGTAAGCGCGAAGCTGAGGCGAACTAGCTACGTGCTAGCTTAACGTCGTTTGGCAGAAATGAACCGCCGTGTCAAGGGAGGCGACGATTTTCTCATTTTGACCATGCACGACCTCCTGTTGGGAGAAAATGCTGAGATGGGGTTCCCTCTTCCCCTTCTCGTCCTTTGTCTCATCTCGAGAAAACTCCTATCATTCACAAAAGTAAGTCAAGGAACGAGTGCGCAACACGCCTTACAGATACGTACCATAAATACCTATCTACATGTGGTACTTGAGGCAACCATGCAGACATTAGGCTACGTGGCTACCTACTGAGAACTGAAATGGCAATGCCGCAAGCCACCAGGAACCCCTGTACCGCTCACCGGCTTACCGGTCATGGCAGCATCAATCAATCTGAGAGCAACCCGTGGGAGTGTGGTTTGATCTGTACGTCCATGAATTCCCCCCTGACCCCTAAAGCATAGAGGCGCAGACATTGCCAATTCCTATAAGCCTTCCCCGATTTCGCGCGCGAATATCAAACGTCGCATAATTAAGTACGGAAATCTGGATGCGATCCTCGTGTAAGCAGACAACAAGGCTGAGAATCTGGCCTAGGTGACCCAAACGAAAGTTAACCGGTAGTAGCATGCCCGGTATCTCCGCGTTCCACTCTTCAGTATGTAGAAAGAGGAAAGCAGAGAGAGCAAATACGATGTCTTTAATCCGGGTTAGCTTCTATGATCTCTGTGCTGAAAACCACCCGAAACTGGGAGACTGGGGGAAGTACTGAAAAAAGAAAAGAAAAGAGGGAAGTAAGAGGGAAGTGCATGTGCTGACGCCATCTAGCATTCCAAAAAGGTGGGATAGCATGTCACCCTCGATTCTGTCTTGTAAGCTTTTACGGCTGTGCAAACCCGTTATCTTAGTACGATTGCCGGTTCAGCATCCACTTTCCTGTTTTGATTGCTCGGACACAGAAGTTGTTCCAAAACAATACTTCGTAGAAAAATAGAAGTATATTCGAGCAGCTTAGTGACCAAGGATTGAGCTCAACAATCTGCCCCACCGGACCATGGAACACCCAACCTTGTGTTTGATGCAGCGTCTTTGTCAGGTGATCAAAGATCCATTGCCATCTTCTCCTGAATCGTACAATCTCGTTCTGATGTTTCGACAAACAAAAACACCCTACGCGTTGTGACAGGCCATCGCCTTCTCGTGATACACTCTTCGATACATCTGGATTCCTGGCAAAGGTCCAGCATTGTATATCAGTACCCTATTAGTCGCCTCGAAGAGTGGGCGGAGCGGACGCCTGGCCAATCCTCGCCGCATCCTCCACACCACCCAACCGCTCAAGCCCGCATGTTCACCGCCATCGACGCCTAACATAGTCAGGCCGCCCTAATCTTGCTGGCCGAATTGTCCGTCTGATCATTTGCATGATCTCCAGACACACCATACCTTCTGCAAAGATAATCCAATAGCGACTGCAGAAGGGTGTTGTAGAGGGGCTGGACCGTGGGCGACGGTAGATCCTTGGTTGTCTTCAAAGGGGAAGCTTGGAGAGGGACCCATTACGTCCTAAACATGGTACATAATGCGCCCTTCTGTCTATGTTCCCAACTCCCAACCCATGAACTCTCTCATAAATCAACCTTTCAGCCGCTGACGAGCCGTCCCACCACTAGCCGCCGCGCAAAAAGTATGCCTTCCGCTGGACCTGCGTGCGTTATCCCTACATCTATCTCGTTGCTGCTTGCAGACTTCTCAATGCGAACTGCCTGAACGATAAATCTCTAAGATACATACTGATAGCAGTGACAGTGCTATTGCGGTCAGGGAGGCATGACTGTAGTGACTGATCCTTGCGTCAGTTGCGGATACCCCAGGTGTTCGCGCTGTCGAGTGGACAAACTGCAAATTCGACAACACTTTCACCGCGATACTGCCCGCGACGAACACACCCACAACGATCATACGTAATAGTGGGAAATGCGGAAAAGTTTTGAACTCCATTGCAAGATATTTGCATGGTACTGTATAAGAGAATGACCCGCGAAGTTCTAACAACGCTTTGCACATCGAATTCCTGGCTGAACGAGAAATTTACAACAAGAAACGAATCGCGATAACGAACATCCGGGTCTCAAAGGCGGAAGACGAGATCGGAGAAAATAATAATGATACAAAAGATTGCCGGGGGCTCAATACTGTATCATTCTTAATTCAAAAAGTTGCGGAGCGAGACGCCATCAAATGTCCCATCATCATAGTCGAAGTGATTAGAGCTGATGGAAACAACACCGATCTCAAGAACGGGAGATTAACAAACATGAAATTACACCAAGTGAAAACAGCCTCAAGCTACCCTCTCTCACTTCAGCCCCCGGATCACAAAACAGAATCGGTTGGACCGACAGAGTAAGCTACCCAAACCACTCAACGTGCGTGCGAGTCCCCAACAGAGTCGAGCAAGCTAGAGCATTCCCATGACTCCAGAGTTTTTCCAACAGAAGGAAACCTCCTAGGAAATGGTAGAATACTCCCTGGCTATACGCCAGCCTTCGAGATATGGAACAGGACCTGAAAGGCCCCGAAGAAGAAGACAATTCGCGCTCCTTGCTGACAGAAGACAATTAGGCCCCATACCAGTTCCGACTTGATATCTTCCTTGATATTCTCAATAGGATAACATTTCAGCAGTTGGAAGAAGATGGAGACGGGGTACCAGAAAACAGAGTAGCTCTCCTTATTGGCAGCAACAGCCTAGGCAGAAAACCGATATTCCGACCCTTTATTAGAGGCCTATCAGCAAGGCATTTATCGAGAGAGGCGATCAAAGAGCTGGTGTATGCCCTTTTGATTTCGACTTCCGAAAAGCAGTCGAAAAGTCGGATTTAACGCTTCCGAACATAGAGCTATGAACTCGATGATGGACCATCTACTGTGAGTTGTCGAGGCAGAACATAGATTGATATGAGTCAGGCAGACACATATACCCGTCTACGTCTCCGGATACTTACCTTATTTCTTCCAGCTACGTGGTTGACCTAGATCCTTCTTTTATTCTTGCTCTTCCTGGGTCCTCTCCGGAGTCTCTCGACAGGGAGATGACTGAGTGCATGCTCAACCACCCCTTAGCCAAGAGTGAAATTGTGATTTTCTTTTCGCCGTAGTGGTGGAATTCCATGTCTATGTTTGGCTTATGGGAATAACGTTTTGGGTAGATGAAAGGATTAAAGAGGGGTTTACTTCAACCTATCCTCCCAGTCAGAGCCTCAAGTACAACGGCAGAATCGAAGACCGACGATTGGAAAGAAAGGTGAAATGAGGACTCTCGAAGACCATCAATGGACATCGCGGTTACGAGAAGATTCACCGAGATGCCTATTGACGCCACGTCCTTTGACGTGATCTACTCAAGACACACAAGTGCAATTGTCACGGGTTCTGATCACATGCAGCATCGCAAGACCGGAGTGGGGTTTCTTGAGAGCTGGTAGGAAGACCTGCTTGACGACGAACCGCATCCCGACATAGTAGCCCGCTACGACAATAACAACGACAACGGGGCGGACTGATTCCCGACCCACTTTTGGGGGGGGGGGTGGAGTCGATGCAATGAGGTCTCCGTGGAGCCTTGCAGCTATTTCATTCGTATTCTTCAGATCTGTCCTAACGGAATCCATATCGAATGGTAACTTCTATACTTGTCGTGGACAACTATCGTAGGTCGGAGTGATAATCTCAAACGGTCCGGGGTCAATAGCTGATATGAACGACAAATATCTCAACCACTCCTCACCTCAATGTAGCCGCGATCTTGAGCTGTGCTGGTATCATCGCTTTTCTGCGGACAGGCTACAACTTTCTCTACGCTCTCTTCATTATTGTAGCTTCTATGGGGTCTATTGTAGTCTTCCTACTCCAGTTGCTGGAATCTGGCGCCACCCTATTCTAGCAGAGCTGACGACATTAGGAACACGTCTGCCCAAGCCTCCCACTGCTATCTTGGCAAGCCATCAAAAAATGCACTGTACCTCTTGCTTAGAATACCTGACGTAGGCACTCTTGGTGTCCACGGTTGGACTTTTCTCTTCCAAATCGACGTACATGGTACCTTGGCTCATCTTGAAAGATAGGGGTCTAATAATCTTGGCCAATCAAAGCATGTCATCTGAACCTTAAATTCCTCCTGATTGTTATGCCCATAAGCCACGAGGCAGTTTGCCACAATTCGAGCACCTGCGCCACGATCATCGCAACTGGCAGTTGCCCGCCGGTCATAGTTACGGTACACAATGATTACATTTGCTCCATTGATCTAGAAAATCTCAATCGATACTTAGGATAGTTGGTTTGTGTGTTCACGTATGTTTTGCCAAATATGGGCATTTGCAATTGACATGAGTGTTGCGTTTATTTTCAACTGGTTGATTGCGGCGCCAAACGGACTTGGGAAAGTCGGCATTACCAAGTTGAATTGAAGTAAGGTAAGGTAGGGTAGTCAGCTGAAAGCTTCAATTCACCAGCAGCGCCCTTGTTTTTCATGAAGGCTGGGTGCGAGTCTCGGCAACAGCACGACCAAAGTAGGAAGCCGGCATTTCTTCAGGTTGTAAGGCCATCTGGTTGATAGAAAATGGACTCTGCAAGAAGCTGGTCATGGGGCTGTCGAACGTCGATGCTTTCGATGAAATTGTTGGGGTCTTGTCAAACTGCTATCTTATCGGCAACATTGGCTGCTACCAATTGGACTTCTTGAGTTCTGGGTACCAAGAGCACGTTACCGAGGTAGCAACAGAGCCAATGGAATCACTGTGCTGCGTAAGTGAAGTACGAGGATGGTGTGCCGCGACGATGCGAATTCGGGGTGGATGAAACTTTGGTAATGGTGTTGCTCGACATGGGTGCGGCATCCGCATTTTTAGCCGACATCGTTGTGATGTTTTTTGCCATTGGTCACAGTACGTCGTGCAAAATTCATTGGGTATGATCGTTGGCGTCGTTGTGCGCCCCGCGGCGGGCAAATTGACCTGCATTTGGTGCGCCGCTTCGACCATCATTGACTTGGCGAGTTTATGTCTGATGACGCTGCCCATCTGGCATAAACGGGTTGTTGAGCAATCGAGGCTACGGATTTGAGTGGCAGACGCACGTTCTAGGCCGAAAGCTCAGAACGGGAAATCTATCACGGAAACACCCTCCTGAGAAAAGCACCGCTAACAGTAGAGATGTCACATGGAATGCTGTCTCTCATTTCACTGGCTCGGGTGCCGAGTCTTCATTTGTGAATCGTGGCGTGAGCCGATTGAGACGTTCGTGGTGCTACGCATCAACAGAGATATTTTCGGTGAGTTCTGATGAGTGTAGTGTCTAGGCAGTCGTTTCGCTCGTCATCGGTCGCCGGTTGGCGAAGCTCATCGCACGATGTTGTTTACTTGCTCGTCGAGTTCCGCAAGTGATGCAGCGCAACAATGGCGGTGAGACGCTCACACAGCCTCAGCGGTAGCTAGCAGGCCGAAGTCGGAGTGTTGTGTCTCACTAACTCAGTAAGACCAAGACACCGAAAAATTGACATGTTGTACCAAAAGCTGTGTTGCACTGGGGAAGTGATTGATGCTGGTTGGCGGGACACCATTTGGACAGGATGTACGCTCAAGATGGACAACCATCGTCGCTATCTCAAGGTTGAGATAGAGGCGTATCCGAGAGTACATAGAGATAGGCTCAGGCCGGGTGGGTTCGGGTTAGGAGAGTGGCTGTGTGTCTACATTACGTTGTTTAAGGCGACGGCAGGCGGTTAGGCTAGGAGATATAAGCCAGGGTACTCCGTATCATTCGCGGAAATGATCTCGAAAGTGCAGAATTGGGCCGCTCCTGCTTCTCCAAAGGCCCCTGACCCAGCTCAAAACCGATCCAAAGAACTTCAGTCACATGCTGTCTATGACTTCATCGTGTATCGTGTGCAAGTGCCATCAGTGAGAGGACAGTACTCTGTGTAGGAGTGCCCTTATTGGAGCCACGAATCCATGATGTTGTCGGGCGAAAGCTTCATAGTATAGCATCGGACAGCGGCCAGCGATCCATTTGCGAGGTTGCCCAAGGACAGGGTCAAACAACCTAACGAATCCACGCGCCGGCCCCTCCGAAGTCAAAGAGAACCTACGTTTGTACGGATGACCCATAATACGCAGTGAGTGGTTGGATGTACTCCGTATGGATCTCCCTGCCAACTTCTGCATATTATCCAAGCCTTCGGGACAGGTGGATCTTTCGGGAGTGGTTCTGTCACGTGCCATCCTCGTGGTTGGTGACAGAATGATGACTCGGTACCCAAGCCTGCGTTGAAGCTTCCTTTTGCACCTTCTCCCTTTAGGAACCCCCTCAACTGCTGCATCGTACTCCGTACTTTTCCGTCAATCCAGCATGACCTCTGCACCGGAACCACAACAGTGATTCGTGCTACCCTCATCTGATTTGAGCCGTCAACCTACCCGACTTGCGTCGTTATCTTCGCGACGGGCCTTGTGGGCCAGGCAACCACGCCAAGATTGCAAGCCAAATTGCCCTGGCGAGTCCCCGGGAAATTACCATTATTCATTTCGCTGCAAACTTTCTTCTGCGCCATCAATTCCTACGTTTCAACTCCCAAGAGAACACCTATCTTCGCCTGACCGCACTGACTCGACTGTTGTCTCTTGCTATGCCTATCGAAATGTACATGTGTGGCAGGGTCCACCGGAACTCACCGTTTTCACGTGACTTCCCAACGTTTGGGGATCTAGGTACGGAGGTGCCCACTTTAGGCAAGCTACCTTGAGGTACAAGCACCTATCTTTATCTCTTATCATACGACTATCGATAAGGTATCATCTAATCATAAATATTCAATAAGGTAGCTATTCTTATCTAATCGATAATCATATCTCTATACCTACCCGCGCTGGGGGGGGGTTTTCAACATTGCCCGGAAAGGGTGTGAGCTTAATGCCCTTAGGGGCCATAGGCACCTAACAGAACACCTAGGAGCTAGAACACGATGTGTGGGTAGTATAACCCGGGCACACTGCTCTTTCCTCCTTCTGTTTTTATTACCTAGAATTAACCCACTCTGTACTCATATGATCACTCTGAATACTCGAACAGAAGAGAATTTGAACAGATGCTCTATTTTATCCTCCTGTTTTACGGAAATTATGAATAGTTTAATCAGATTAGGGTCTCTACAGACTTCTACCAGTATACGGGTAGAGTGATGTAATACAGCATAGTCCATTACTGGGGTAGAGGCATAGACCACTTTTGAAAACCCCCCCCAACCCGTATAGGTATCGATTAAAGCTTGAAGTAGATTCTTGTCGCAATCCTGTTGACTGGGTGATTAACCCATGGCCCCACTGCCATGACTTTTGGGACGCACCTCCGTACTCCGTCTTCCGTACCGGATCATGGATGTCTTGACCGACACCACGGGCTGCTGCATTCTCCTTTTATTTATTTTTTTGTGTTTTTTTTATTGTACACCCTGGGATTTCTTTGTTGTGCCAATGGACGGCATTGTCCTCTTCAATTGGTCTCCCTAACGACCGTACGGTAGTTTTCCAACCAAAAAGGACATGCCCAGCCCAATCATTCCCACGACAGCATCCTCCACACCACCCTCCGCCTTAGTCCGCAAGTTCAGTCGAATCCCCATCGCTCGCCTCAGATCTCAACCGTGAACGTGATCAAGTTCGGTCTAGGGTTGCAACCTATATGCAGAGACGCCTTACGAGAGACAGCCTTTGAAGTAGGCTGGAGGGTTCCGGGAAGAGGCAAAGACAAGGGGACGTTGCTGCAGAAGACAAGTCATAAAGGGGCCCGCGTGAGCTCCATCGAAGCTATGGTACTTACTCCCGTCTTTCAACGTCCACCCGACTTGCAATCTAGCTCTTTGCAATTGCTATTCACCCGGCCACTGACGGCTCGTTCCACCAATAGCCACCACGAAAAAAATACGCCTTCGTTTGGACTTGCGTACGTATTGCATCTTGCCCTGCAGCTGGCTCAATCCATAGGAGGGCTGAACACGCGACTCACTTCTCAAGCATTACAAGACGCTAACGTTGTCTCTCGACCATAGTGTTATTGCGGCCAAGGCGGCATGACAGTCGTAGTCGATCCTTGTGTCAACTGCCGCTACCCACGCTGCTCCCGGTGTGCCGTCACCAGAGTCCACGTCCGCCATCACGACTGCAGGCATCCAGACCACTGTCATAATCAGAACACGACTTAGAAAGACAACTCTGCTGGACGAACATAATTTGTATCAAGAGTTGGGAATTGCCAGGAACGGTCCCAAAAAAGCGATTTCATTGCAAGGATTCTGTACAACATATCACAAATACCCTGTCGAAGCGTGGCTAGGTCAAATATCGGGAGTTGGAAAGCTTTGAAGAAGACAAATATCAATGGTGTAAACTCAGTCGTGGTTCAGCCTGAAGTGAGCATGAATCTCTTCACAATATTAGTCGTGGCTATGCCAGATTGGTCTCGGCAGACTGCGGCAAACCTAAGAATTATGATATTCTGACTCAATTTCAGGTGATCCATCATCAAACGTAGCAATGGGCGCGTCTATGGGACCGATCGTTTCGGCCTCGGCCTCGCCGCATCCATCTCCGTTGTTAGAGCCGAGAGACGCTCAACGCACGAACGAGAATGGGCAGGGGCAAGTTGGCGCATTTCTCTGGCCGCAAAGGTTCTTCACGCGGCAATCCATCTCTAGAAACTGGGAAAATTCACCATATATCACGGCAATTCTCAAAAATACGAATGTACCTCTGACACTGGAAGAACCTGGGGAAGAGGACAACATCTTTTTCCTGCGGACGGAAGAGAATTGGGCAGCAGATAAATATCGCGTCGCCCCGCTTATCGCCTTCCTCCGGGGTGCAACGATAACAGAGCTTCAACATGGAGACATCAAAGACGTGAGAGGCAATGGAAATACTGCTATAATCATCGATGGCAACATTTCACATGGTAAAGGACGGTTCCGACCATACCTTGGTAGCTTATCACCACTCAGGCTATTGGAGGAGCTGCGAGCAAAGGTGAGTTCATTACAGCATCTTGAGATCTTCGGAGCTTGTAGCCTCTAGACATTGTGGGAACCAATTCTGACCAGTTGTAGCGCTACAACGAAAACCCTACTACTGCAGAAGAAGATGGTTTCATTGATGCTGAACGACGTCTTATGTGAGTGATATCAAGACTCAAGTGTAGGAACTATGAGGGAAAATTAAGATGCGTCAAACTTGCGAGAATGCTGATGGTTTACTGCAGCTATATTGTGGACCTGAGTCGTTGGAGTGTTCTTGCACTCGTTGGGTCCGCGCCAGAATCGCTCTATCGGCTTTTGGATGACTTTTTGCTCAACTATGTCTTGTCGAGGTCCTCCATTGGCGTCCATTTCTCGGTAAAAGCTTGGAGTCTTGGTCCGCTGACGTTCATTGTATTATTGCTAACTTCCTTCTTACCTAGACGGAGGGTCCTGAGACTTTTGCCTTGGAGTTTTCGCTCCCTTACTCGGTATGGCGTACGTCGAAGACCTTGATGCACGATCATCGATCCATCGATTCAGACAGGAAGCATCTGAGGTTCTCTGAAGATGTTACTTTCCTTCGAACCCTTTCCGGCTACCGGGCTGATGTTGAGGAAGTCGACGCTATCTACTCGAGTCACATCAGCTGCATCGTAACTGGTTATGATCAGTCTCGATGGACATGTATTCTGCTGTGTGAGGCCTGGTTCGAGGTTGAAATCATTGGATTGCCAACGCCCGACAGTATCGCACGCTACGAAGCTGAACTGCAAGATGTCGAGGAGTCAATGGGTGTGGTCAAGCTTTCGGACCCCATGTGTCGGGGAAAAGGCGATATGTCCAGCTCGACAGCCACATTGTGGCTACCTCGGTCGTATTTTCTTCGCGTCATGGAGATACGCCTGAGTCAGATACACAAAGAGTGGATGGGCGTATTCGATAACATCGAGAAGCAGATCAATGGCATCGTAAGTTCTTGACAAATTCGAACATAATGTCGATGCGCAAGAGCATGACTTATCTAGTAATCATAATAATAACTGCTACAGACTGAGCGGCACCAGAATCTTCTACGAGAAATCCGCACGTTGGCTCGCGATATTCAAGCCACTCCAGCATTGATTAATGCGTTGGATGTCCTTGACGACTTTGAGGCGGGGATTCTAAGAGCGGAAAAGATAGTAAAGGGCCTGTCGCAGAAAATGGAAGACGTTGTTTCGAGCGGTGACTCATTCATGACAACGGACGTCAACTACTTTTTGAACACGGAAGGCCGAATAGGCGACGCACCGGATTGTATGCCTCATTTATCGCAAATTCGATGGATCTTCAATAAGCTTCGAAAGCTACGCCGGAGGCTCGGGGGTTTGGAAACATCATGCGAGGAAATGATTAAGGGCTGTTCGACTTCGAGAAAAGAGGTAAGATACCTTCACTGCTTTCGCACGATGCCATCGAAGGTGCGGGTGGACATCAAAAAAGGCTGATCTTATGCCTAGACCTTGCTTCGCATCGAGCTGAACAGAGCCGTCGCTCCCCCTCCTCCTGCCTCAACTATAGCTGCCGTTGTTGCGCCGAAGCAGTCACTGGCAGTCGGAGCTGCGTCTTGGATGACAATCGTAAGTTCTGGCCACATGTTCGCTGTTTTCTCACCCTAACGTGATTTGGGAATAACTAATTGGCATTGGGTAGACCTCCCAACCGCTTGTCAATATAGCAGCTGTCTTTAGCTGCGACAACATCATTGGCTACGATCGTACACCTCGGAATTTTGTGATCTCTCTTGTGTGGATGTATCTAGGCATGGCAGCTCTCGTTCTCATTTGCATGGAACTGTCGAATGGTAGATGGATACGCTCCATTCGCGCCTACATTTCAACATCCAGCCACGAAGAGACGAACACAACTCCTCGCCAAATTAAACGAAGCCCTACTTTGACCATGAAGCTCATGGATTGGTGGCAAGGGAGTGGCTTCACTGAGCGCCCGCCTTTCAGAACGACAATTTCACAAGTGCCACCTCCGACGGCAAGGATTGAACTCACTGTTTTGAATTCCTTGGGTGCGCCCGACTGCAATGAGCAACATGATTGTCCGGGTGAGGTAGGTCCAATTGTTCCGGGTGCTGTTCATTTGAGGGCTGGGCCCTAGACAACGTTCCTATTACATAGTATCCCATCGACTGCTGCAAGGCGACAGTACATCCGAGTGCGGGGGAAGAACTAATTAGGCGTTATTCCGATTTATTTCCACTATATCCGCAAATCAAAAAATTCATATCTCGGAGAATTTGAAGAAAAGCTGGAGACCATTGTCCTGTCGCCTTGCAGCAGTCGATGGGATACCTGCATGGATATGGCCTGCATGGGTATCACGGGCTCAGCTTCTACGTGTGTATCTGGGAAGCCCATCTTGAGATGGATCTCAGATTCTAAATCATTATTGTGCCGGCCTAGGGGGCACGAGTGGGGGATCTTTTAGATGATTACCCAGCTGATTGATGGATGGGGACTTAAAAAGACCTCGAGGTAAGCATCGTAGTTGAAGGAATTAGGCACGTACACCTTTCGCCTACTTTCGCTCACTTTTGTGTAGACAAGCGAGGGATAGTGACACGTAGCACCTTTCAAGTCTGACCTTGGCATCTTACGTGAACTTCGTACTTATAGTTATGTAGCGTGGGAATTCTAATCTTCAACACCTGATCCTGACAGAAGCAGAACCTCAGCCCGTTGACTGGGTGTCTCATTTGATGAGTGAAACAAAGAGGCCATGCATATACTTAGCACGCTTCAGAGAAGTGAAAGCCGGAAAGTCTGGATAGGACTTTAGATCATGATACTCTTCTACTATAACTGGCCCTCAAGGAGGATATCTGAGAGTTATCTAGGACAAATCGTTCTGGGACACATGGAGATTGTGTGAATCTTAAGGGTTCTTGGTGCGTAAATCGGTACTCTACACATCGTGGTATGTAATTTTGAGCGGATGATAGTTATGGCGCTCGCAAGCCACACGGCGGGCGAAAGGGCGTCTCGACCGCAACTGAACCAGTCACCAAGCCGGTATCACGCAAGGTAGAGCTCTAAACCGCAAATCTGACAGGATATTTCGGACTAGATTGAAATGAAGGCAGAAGCTTGATGACGTATATGGCTGCGCTAAGATGATCTCGGCAATCTAGGTACACCTATGTTGGATTACGAGGTAGAAAAGGGTCTAGGTAGACGGTTAAGTAGGGGAAGCAGGTAGGCAGTTTAGGCCCGTATAACGGACCCTTTTACTTACTTACTAAGGTCTGCCAGGTATAGTTGTAAAGGGATTACGGGCTCCATTTACCAACTTCCCCTCTTGTATACGTATAAAATAGACCAACTCATTGACTTTATTGCGACCGAAAGGTCTGACCTGCTTATGCATGTCCAACAATCTATTTTACACGTAGGCAGACCAGGTAGACTGAGGTAATCGCGAATGAATCGCGAATACATTCTGAGGGAAGTTATAATGAGCATTAATGCTTAGTATTATTTTCGAATAAGTGAATGAGGTCGGAGCACGCAACTTCATCGGAGGACGATAATTGCTGGAAGGGCGTTTGGCTAGTCGAGATTCTGCTCGCCGCTCGAGATGCCTTGCCACCTAGATTATTGTTACTTAGCGTCGTCATCTGGCTTATGGACAATAGTCTCAGACTAAGACAGAGCAGTCTACGTAACCAAAGACTTGAATAGGTAGTGTAGACTGGATAGTGGCTATGGCTAAGTATGTTCGTGCATTGCATGTGACCGAGTGGGGTGGCTTGGATCGTCCCGCGTACAAGTTGATGATGTCTAAGCGGTTGAGGCAATGGCACAAGCACCTGACCACGGACTAGCTGTCTGGATTTATGTCGCTAGAAATTGATTACGAAGCAAGTATCGTAATCAATCATATGACCAAGACAGACGGAACGTTTTCATGTGTATCGTAACTGATACCTTTATCACTTCCATCAATGACGATGAGTTCCGCGGTCTGCGCTTATGCAAGTGGCTGATATGCAAATAGACAGACATGGGCCTAGGTGAAATCAAATTTATAAGAGAACTTGCGGTCGCAGGAATGCATAATTCAGACAAAGTATTGGAATCACCCGTCGGGGAATGCTCTCAAGGGAGATTCATACAAACCCAAGGTGCCGTTCGCCAGGAGATAGGGAGAGGCAATGTTTGTGCAGAAGCAAAATGCGACACTGTGTACCTAACAAAGTGTTAATGGGGGTGTCTCTTGTTGTATAGTATCATTTTGCCCCCGAAGGCCATGTGAGGAATCGCCAATAATCCCTTCGTGCCATTGCCAAATCCGAATTCTCGGCGACTCCTGGTCCTCTTCAAACCTCCCCGGACCACGAGACAGCCGACGATCTTCGCCAAAGAAAGGGTTTCCTTACCCTAACATCATCGATCTAGGGAGTTGCCATGTGGACAGATGCATGCTTGCGGTAAGTGATTCAATCATTACCGACTTGAATGCTTCCTTGGTCCGAGGCATTCCTTGTTACAGTCGAAACCAAGACCCGCATGACAAAGGGCCCGCATGTTCGATATTTGACTCGGACCGGTGTCCCGCAACATGCTATATCGCATTAGTAGGTAGTGAAGGTAATGTACATGTGCTCTTTCTGGAACATTGACCCACCCAGACCATGTCACAATGCCATCAACAAAGACCAATAAAAGCCTCCCCCTGCCAATCTTATGGTCGCACGTCGTCCGCACTCGTCCCACATCCATACCTCTATGAGTTCTGTAGCCTACATCTCACTAGGCCCAGTTTAATTGTTTCAGCCTGTGAAGATTGATCAGCTTTTCAGCCCTAAATCCTGGGAAGACGTCGCAATAAGCTTTGCTATTTGGCTGCGAAGTGTGGACACCCCTTGTCTCCCACACCCCACCCCCAAACCCGCAAGAGCATAGCAAACTAAAAGTCCTACAATGGTAAACTCAAGTCCTAGAATGAGGAATAATGACCAAAGGTCATCGCATTGTTTCGTCTGCGGGGAGATACTAGAAGACACCTCTCTTCTATCTAATCATTTTTCAAAATGTGATACCAATTCGGGGGGTGTCAAATACTTAATTGGACCTTGTGGACCTTGTCAACTAGATAACTCCTCAATACCGTGTAAAAACGGCAGATCTAGTCGCGTCTGTCTGTAGGAGCCACGGACAAAATTTGTGGTCGGTCATACTGGCAGTATATTTTACCGACATTGATGACAATCCGACAGCTAATGCATGCTACGTGCTCTTAAACAAGTCAAACTCGGTGGCCGTATAAGACACGCTGATATAGTTCCTTTGCCCAGATTACATATCTAATGGAAGTGGAGAATTCCAGAATGTCATTCATAAAAGAACCAGGGATGAGAGAGAAATTGGCATTTCTGGGTGAGGTCACTTCAGAACGGTGGAATGTTCGCCCATGGTTAGAAAACACGGCAGATATTGTAGAAGGTAAGACATTGAACACACCACTTTGTTTTCCCCAATCGTTGTCCGTGTTCTAAATGCCGGTCGCATGTAAGCAAGATGTCGCGTGCAAACAAACGGCGAGGCATGAGTCTTATGTCCTTTTGACAGGAACCACACACCGTGGTATTGACCCACAAGCCAGCCACCCCGTGAGCGCGTCACGCAAAATACAGGAGTTGCATTAGCACCGTGTAACCTTCCATTAATGAAGCAAGTGTGGACAGGGCGGTGCACACCTAGTTTGTTGAAGCTACACGAAGATATCGTAGTCATGGAGATTCCCTTGGGTAAGAGCAAGGAATCAAGCTACACGTCAGTTAAGTGGTAGAGTTCTGCGCCCACGATTGCACCATTCCTCGGCCCCAAGAACGAGTGGCCGCTGCTGTGTGTCCGATAAGAGTGTGTGCAGGCGGTTTCGCCTCGGTCGGTAGACACGGTCTCGCCTCGTTCGGCCATCTGAGGCTATATGGGTACCAAGCAGCAACGGAATTTGGCACTGGTTTGATTAAACATGTCGCTACCCGTACAAATACACCTATACACCACTAGGTATGAGCATTCGTTTAAGGCGTTGCCGAATAAAAAAGCATAGAGTCGGCAGTGCGGTCCCTACATGTAGTCAAATCAGCAGCTTCGGCCGAATCTCTGTTGCTCCCCTAGATGTTTCTCCCAATATTGACTTTGGCTGGATGCGTGGCCACGGAAGAGAATGATTCAGCACAAAAGCTGCGATAATCACAGCGCAGTCACGCAAGCTATTGATCCCTTGACTGGCAAGGGAGCGCCACAGAATATTTCGAATGAATGTTTATCGAGCAGGTATTGATTCATTTGGTCCAGGTGGAAGCCCGCTTCGGTGGTCAATTCGTACTTAGCCATCATGCGTTTGCCACGATTATCAATGTGTATTTCTATTTGAACAGCGAGAGCCACTGGAAGCTTTGCTCGCCCCCTTTTGAAGCAGGCAGCCAATTTTCAACAATTGTCCACCTTCTCAGACGACGGCATTGGCCTTCGCTTCTGCACGATCACAGCCTCAATTCTTTTCTGCCTTATGCATTAGTACCCAAACCCGGCACCTACATATCACCTGCAACCAATCGAAAGCGGGAAAAAAAGTCACCGATATTTGAAGTTTGACGATGTACCGGACTTTTGGGAGATCATGGTAGATAAATCACCCAATCCTCCGAGTTGTTCATGCAGTTTCCCCAATCTGACGTTTTTACTTCTTCTTCAGCCTCTCCCCCGAAGGAAATACTCATTCCTGTGGACATGTGTATGTTCTCTTCCAACAGATTTATTCGAAAGACCAAGCTGCACGATCTGACCGACGCAGTGCTGCTGTGGCCAGTCTGGCATGAGCGTAGTCATTGACCCATGCGTCCACTGCCGCTGCCCACGTTGTAGTCGATGTCGCGTTGAGAGAGTGCGAACACCGTAGCACCATTACACCTGAGGACTTTCACAATATTATTCCCATACTGAATTCGTTTCTTTTCCTCAACTTGGAGGTGAGAATCATTACAAGCAGGTAATGTACGGGTAGAGGGTTGACAATATGAATACAGATTCTCCAAGCATTCTCGACACGGCGGCGAAAGGCACTGGCATCAAAAATACAACCTCCGTAGATCAGTAGCGCTTGGAATTGAACTGTGAGCTCTTTTAAGTCAATCTAGACAGCACCTGCAAAATTGATGGACGTAAGGTTGGTGATTATCTTGCTTCATGAAGATATTTTTTGGAATGCTGTTATCTTTGGCTTGGCATTTCCAGGCTTCAGATTGAATTACGTTGTATGATGTATCTAACTTGCTTAAAGGGTTAGAGGCCACAAAGCATCCCAATGTCGGACGATAGCCAGCTTACTGTGTCAGCTGATACGTCCGCATCAGACACCACCGTCACAGCCCCTTCAAGCAGTCAAGTCTTACAAACGATTCGCAGTGGATTCGATTGGCCACTTCGATTCTCTAAGAAAGGGAAAATTTCCGAAGGGTTTGAGAATGAACCATGGTTAAGCTACCATGCAAAATTCGACTCACCCAAAGATGCTATCAGTTTTTTCCTCGGCTTCGAAGATTATGACGTTAGATATCATGGGCGTGTTCGGCCTATCCTCGACATCTGCCACAACATGGACCTTCACGACCTTGCTAGCATCGAACCTTCCGGTGGAGAAAAACAAGTGGCTTGGCTGATAGATGGCCAGCTAGTTGATGACAAGATCAATTTTCGGGAGTGCCTGGGGGCATTGACTGCTCGCCAACTTACGGAAGCTTTGATGAAACCAGTTAGTTCACAATCTCTTGCTACATTGTTCACTTTTGCAACTGCGTCTAAAATTTTGGATAGCGCTATCGCGTTCCTCTTCCAGTTCAGAGCAAGGGAGAAGGAAATACACAAAGTATAATCAGTAATGAGGAAGTTTTAACCTTCGATGCTGAACGTCGCCTGCTGTAAGAATCTGCCCTTCGGTACACTTTTACAAAAAGAAATGAAGATGGCTGAATGACTTCTTAATGGGCCGGAACCTAACGCTTGTGCTAGTTATCTCACGAACCTTGATTGTTGGACCATTCTTGCGCTTGTGAAAACTGCTCCATATTCTCAGGCCAAGCTTTTGGGAAACTTCTTCCACAAGCACATATGTTCTAGGACCTCCATAGGAGTGTCATTTGAGGTGGGTTTCGATCTGGACCTTGAGGGTTCAGCTTGCGCTAATAGGAACGTCTTCTTAGCCCAATGGCCCTCAAACCTTCTTCCTTGAGTTCCACTTGCCGTTTCGCGTCTGGCGAATAACGAAACATCTCCTCAAAGACGAAAGAATCAAAGGCTCGGACAACGAAGCCCTTAGATCATCGCGGGATGTTACTTACTTAATGCCTCCCGAAGAAGGGGACGAAGGTGATGACGTGCATGGCCTCTATTCAGGTCATATCGCTTGTTCGGTCAGCGGTCATGATTACTGGAGATGGACAGCTCACTTCGCGATCGACACCTGGTTTGACGAAACCAATGGTATAAATGACCAGGTTACTCGTTATGAAAATGACAGAGAAGACGGCGTCGAGTGGGATCCTTGCAGCGGCGGGCAGGACGACGCTAGAAAGCCGTTCTGGTTTCCACGAATTTGGTTTCTCCGTATCTTTGGCATTCGGCTTGACCAGATTAAGGATGAGTGGGAATCTATATGCCTCCACTTGGGGCAGAATCTCGACAGACAGGTATGATATTTCAATTTAACCTTGGAGCCTGTATCATGGATGACGTGTGGTTTAGGATCGTAAATATAAGGTCCTTCTCCTCGAAGCACAATTATCACCTGAGCTCGCCGCCGCCGAGGATCACAGATTTCGAGTCAACGCTTTGGAAAAATCGGTGCTGGAGTCCAGAGATGTTCTCCAAGATCTCATCAGTGTTATTCAGGAGACGCTAAAGGCTGGGGCGTCTTTCCTTTCTACAGAAGTGAACTTCTTTCTCAACTTCGACGGACAGCCGGGAGATGGTTCAGAGTGTTACCCGTATCTTAGCGAGATTCGGCGAATGTTTAACGTGTTAAATCAGCTCGGGTATCGACTAGAAAGCTACCAGGCAAGGTGCAGCTTCCTGATTCAATATTGTGAAGTTTCCAGGAAGAACGTAAGGCCTTTAGTTGTCCATTGTATTGGAAGCACAATTTCTGACAACAAGGCCTTAGAATCCCCAAGTCTCCTTGTCAGCATCGGACGAGAGGTTTGCTGCCAGCTCTGTGAGCAAGTCTAGTCCGTGTAAAGATGAAAAGATATCGTGACTGACAACACAAAGCGTGGCTTGTTGCAAGTACAGGTTGACATAGAGAACCTCCGAAACGTTAGGTCTCTAGAATGCTGTAGAAAAACAGTCTTTCGCTGACAAAGTAGGTAGGAACTGATACAAGTGAAGCTGAAAAACGATCAACTTCTAGCTATCGGGCCCGGGGATGTTGAGGAAGTTCGAGTGCTCGCATTCAGCACCCTTGTAAGTTCATGTTGTTATCCAGAGCTCCCATTGCGCTCTCTGGCAGTAGATCTAACGAACGACTAATGGCATGCCCGTAGCTTACGCAGGCTTTCTCGCAAACCACCGCACTTTTCAGCGCAGACGGTGTCATCGCCTTTACTAGAAGCTGGCAAACATTCCTGATATCCCTTCTCGTCGCGTATGGCATCAATCTTACGATAGGGACTGCGTTTCTCATTTGGATTCGGAGAGCTCGTCACAAAATCCAGGCTGCCTTGAAAGCAACGCCACTAATACCGCCTGTCGCGCAGCCAACATCGAACCCCAGCGCTACTTCGACTGTCACACTGAGGTCAAGCAGCGAGGCTGTGACTCAGACCATCGCTACACATACATCTTCAACGAATTCTGATGAAAGTGGCCTGACGATATATACGCGACGTCGATTCTCAGACAGACTCTGGTTGAGCTACAGGCAACCGCAGAGGGTGGATGATGTTGAACTAGGGAACAGGAATGTTATTGAGGAACTGACATAACCCTGGAGAAATTGCGTTGCAAACGCTACGCCTTTTTCGGCTTTTAGCTCCCGATTTATTTGTTGCCTTGCTTACTTTCCTTCATGAATCTGAATTCAAGGAGATAGATACGTTGATTGATTACATTGATAAGAAGCTTCTGTCCACATGCTGAAACAGAGTCGTCATAATTCCCGGTCCCGGCGGGGGGGGGGGGGGGGCACGGGCCATGGAGCGGTGAGCATTCCGGATGTCCCGGGAGCCCTCCGCGAGTCCTGAGGGCAGAGGCTAGCACTGAACTCAATAGTGAGAACTCAATAGTGAGATTCAACAAAATTGAAATGTACGGATAGCTGAGTCCTTTATAGACACCTTCGGGCGGTTCTACGTATGTTGATTTGAGCGCGTTACTCTCGGTATTCAATCAATGTTTTGCACTGTGAGCCCTGCAGTAAGGTAAATTGCTCCGAAATGGTCGCCACACTTCATTTTCTGAAATTTGCGTTCTACATTCATGACTTCAAGCTGCTGGAGCTCATACTAAGTATCTTGTCTGAATCAGATCTCAAGAATCCATCTTTATCCCGACCAGAATTCTCACTCAATGAAGTTGAGATTCTGATGAGGGTGGGGAGGAAGAGTCCGACTCGCCAAGGCCAGGCGCGACTAGTGGAAGCTGAGCCCCTATATGCCTTTCGGGGTATCTTCCAATTGCTGAGGTGGTGATCTTAAGGCCACCAGTAAATGCGTGCTACCTATAAGGCTATATTTAGTAGGGTGCTGGGCAAGCAGAAGAGCCCCAAATGACCTGACAGTAGGGGCACTCAGGCAAAGCAGTCCCACAAGACCAGGGTACCACAGTACCGGTTGCGCCGTCACCTACCGCCACGGCTGCGCCCTCTACCATTCCCCTTACCAACATCATTGAGCGCTGGCGATTAGAATGAAGCATCAGTACCTCCTAGCCATTGGTGGCTTATCTTCAAATCATTCTAGAACCTTGAAGTGCTCTAGTTCAATCTGCGTTTGAAAAATGATCACAACTGCGTGTTTCCTTGTCAACCTCCATCATCCGTGGAATAAAGTACACAGTACTTCCAAATGTTGAAGAAACGCGTAGTTCACTGCTGGACCAGGGATCATGGATCAATTGCGACCTCAACAAGAACACACCCCTTTGACGAACGGATAGTTCTGGCTTCTCTTAGTCATCCAAACTTAACTCACCCGCCGGCGAGTTCAGTGTGAGCACGTTGGCTGCGTCTTGGTCGACGAACCTCAACCTCCACAAACATCAGCTACCATCGGCTTGTTTGATATCTCCATTGCGCAAGTACAGTCTCGTCCACAAAGGCAGGGCATTTACTTGACTTGGCCAGTCACGATAGCAACATACCGACCTCAAAATAACTTCCAGCCAATACTGATCATCCTGTGGCACACTCTTAAGCCTCATGCAAGTCAAAGTGTTTCACCAATTGCGTTCAACAACTTCCTCAGGGCGATGCAATCATTCATGCAAAAGAAAGAGCCTCGCATTTCCTAGAGAAGGGAAAAGTCGGAACCAACCTGCAGGCGAGAAGTGATACAGAGTCAGCGTTACCCCACGTCCAAAGGGCCAAGGCAAAATGGTACTCCATTCTCTCTCCGACATAAGAACCTCTACCCCTCCACAGTACTCAGTACAACCTTCCCAATCCATCACACGCAGCCACTGACTCTACTTCCCTCTCGCAGCCCTCCAGGACGAGATATGCATTCATGTGGACTTGCGTAGGTGTCTCCCCAGGCCTCTGGTTCTCATTGAGATGCGATCATTACAGGCACAAATGCTGACAGCCCATTTGACTAGTGCCGCTGTGGGCACGGAGGGATTACTGTGATTGTTGACCCATGTCACGACTGTCCGCACCTGCGCTGTGCCAGCTGCAGGGTTGAGAAAGTGCAGATAAGGCAGCAGCAGCAACAGGCTCCAGGCCAATCCCAGCAGAGTTCAGTATAACCTCCGAGCCTGGTTTTCTGGAACCTAGACATCGCATCGTTCAACCACCCTAGTGCAGTCTGAGCATGATACAGAGGTGCCACCATTCGGGCTGAACTGCGTAGGACTGTGCGACACCGCTTGTGAAACATTGTATCGTCTTTTCCGTTCACAAGTGGCGTTCAGATTATTGTAGTTGTTCGCACAAAAAAATATTCGGAGAGATAAATCCAGGACTAGCTTGTATCATGTATGCTATCGAGTGTGAAATGGTGTTGACATATACGTCTTAGCTTTTCTTCAATTCCAGTCCTAAGGCGATTCTTTTGTTCGTGAATCTGAGAGAAATGAACCTGGGATGACCTAGTAAATGAGGTAGGTGCTATTCGTTGTAACGTCTCGTAGTTGTACCGTGTGTACGTACATGTACCGACGCTACCTAGGTATTCGGCACCCGATGGAATCTGTGCAGCGTTTAAACCTTGGCCTCGACAGATTCAGTAGTATAGTACACATGCAGTCTGCGGTAGCGAATCCTGAAGGATTTAGTCGATGGCTTGAAGTTAAGACCGCGTGATTCTCATTTGCAATGGCGACTTTCATTTCTAAGGTGACCATTTGTTGACTCAATCACAGTCCGTAGATCTGTTCTTCTAAGCATTCTCAAATGACAAGGGAAAGAGACCTGAGGTTGTTCTGGAATTTCGATCGGCATCCTGTATGATTCCCTTGACCGCCGTGTTCCTTTTTGCCAGGCCCGAAGACGTTTCGATTACCTGGAGACCCCTACCCCTGTATCACCGAAGATCTTAGACCCGTAGACTTTAAGACCCTGAAGCCTCATGGTTCAGGTAGTCTCGGCATGAACAGAAAGACACTCTAAGCAGCCGAGAAACCTGTGAGAGCTCAGGGAACACATTGTGGGGCTAGGTGTAAAAGTCGGAGGCGTTGGGCATGGGCTCTTTTTACACTTGACGCTTGGGGTATGTCGAATACCTCAGTCATGGCTTTAAGAACTATAATTGTCTGGATCAATCGTGAACTCTCAGACAAATTGAGAATAAGCCTGGTTATCAGGATTCTTGGTCTGCTCCCCTCGCCAAAAGTGCATGTGGCCTCTGGGTTCGAATTCATTGCTCGTTGGGTTAGGGGTCAAAATATAATTATGACGACACGCAGCCATCGGATCAGGCGACATCATCAAAGCAGGAATGAGTTTCACGACATGGTCTCCAATATTCCGATTCAGGCTAGCTCTTCTCGGGCGAAGCTGCCTCGGAGCCTGCTGGTCAACCAAAGTCAGGCAACCTATCAAAGACGAAGTCCAATAATTTCGACAGTTTCGATATTAACCAGTTGTACTAATCAAGTGACAGCCCCGTATGAACGATAAGAGTAAGCCAACTACAAGCTCCAAGGCAACGCATGTATATCTGAATCGGGTCGTCATGGCACTTTCGCAAATTTTATTGGCCAAGTTGATGCATATTTGCATGTTCCCTAGGCTGATTCCCCGCGTTGCCTGCTTCAAATTCCTTACCCTGCTAAGTGCACCTTTGGTAAACGACGAATGGTAAACGACGAGAAGACCTTACACAGTTGGAAGGAGAGGGCCACATTGCTGCGTGGAGGTGAACTCATGATCAAAGACGTGGCACTCAACCATTCGTTCTTGTGCAATCACAGAATTGCTGCACTTTCTACCAAGACCCCGTCTGTCAGTTCGTGGACCATCTATGATAGACTCAAAATAACTTGGGTGGCAGCGTAGGGAGGTACGTCGTTCCGTTCTGGCCGACTGAATAAAGGCAGTGAACGACAAGGAAGAATTCAGGCTTGTCAGGCTTGTGATACCGCACAGAAGGATTATCGGACGTTCTCAAACTGCATGCAGTAGATTTCACAGTATACGAAAACTAGAAATACTCCTTGTTTCAATAGGTACTTTGAAAACCCAGGGCCCCATTTGTCGCCCTGGATTGCAAAACACTCCTCTACTTAGATTCTCAGCCCCAAGCCCCGATGGCTACGTCTCAAAGGCAATGCTGGGGATGGCAAATCATGTGAGGTACATGGGGGGAAGAAGACGAAACTAAATGGTGCCTCATGTGACTGTAGGGTATGATGGATGCGGATGTTCAAAAATACGCGTTGTTCCTGCCGGCTTCCCCTACCTTCAACCGTTCGTAGGCACGTCTTCCACAACTTCCTCTTCTCCATCAAGCAACATGCTTCGTTTACACCTTCATATCATAAGATTCTCGTCGTAAAATCTGACGAGGTCTAGCCTCAAGGGACCTGGGATACCTGACCTTACTTGATGTTGCTCCTTGTATCATCGAGTGTCTATTTGGTATACGGCAAGCCGCCTGTAATTTTGTAAGCAGGTATGTTGCCCCTCACACTCTCTTGGGTCGGTTTATTTCTTCATTGGCGGTAATGGTTGTATTCACAAAACTGAACTGCCTGTAGCTTTTCGTCCGCCTATCTAATCCTTACAAAGGTTTGATGCCCCATCAGCCTGGCCTGCCATAACATGAGAAACGACAGTCTAGCCAGACTTTCGACGAGGAGTGAGGCCGAGAAGAGCCGAGAGTTGCCCGCGCCGCTATGTCGTACGCCGTCTCGAGACAGATCAGTACATTTATCGGCCACACCGTTGCAACTTCAAGCTTTTTCTTGGCCTGAGAGGTTTCTTGTGCGACAAACCTTCTCCGATTCTTGGGAGAACACACCTTGGATGCAAGCAGGTCTCAGAGATATTTGTAGTCCTATTGAAGACGAAGAAGAATTTACGTCTTGTCTTAAGACTCAGCATAACTGGGCCGCTGATAAAATCCGGCTCGAAGCTATTGAGAATCTAGTTGAAGGTGCAACTCTCGAAAAACTCCTTTGTCGGGACGATAGCATCCCCGAAATCAAGACAGCGATATTGATTGACGGTAACAATATCTACGGGGAGCCAATATTTAGGCCATTCCGCGGAGGCTTGAGCGTACCGGATCTCATGAACGAACTGATGAAAACCGTAAGTAGCGGAACGTGCGAAGCTTCAACGGAGGGCTGATGAATATCCAGCGCTATAAAGAAGTTCATGAGGAAGAATCTTCACCATGGGAAGCAAAGGACGTTCTAGATGCGGAGAGGAGATTGATGTAAGTTCAAAGCCACCGCTTCATCCACATAGCGTCAAATGGCTAAAAGCACCCTTTCTGGTAAGCTACATTGTGAACCTCAGTTCCTGGGCTGTTGTTGCCCTGCTTGGGTCTGCTCCAGAATCGTTGTTTCGTGTTCTGGGCACTCTAGTGAATAACTATATTCGCTCCATAACATCTCTGAGCGTCTCCTTCTCGGTGAGTTGGCACATACAGTCAGTTGGATACTGACTTGGAAATCATCGATTGTCTGACGATGGATTCACTGGAACACTTAGACTGAAGGACCAGCCAATTTCACGATGGAATTCTCGTTCCCACTTCGCGTCTGGCGCACAGACTCGAGTTTAAGGATAGATGGTAGGGGGAAAACAGCCGGTGGTCAATCCCTCAGGTCCTCAAGAGACGTGACTTTCTTGAGGCATCTTTCCGACTGTCACCACGAAGACGGCACCAGAGACGCAATTTACGCAAGCCATATCAGCTGTGCAGTCACAGGGCTTGACCAGTACAGATGGACTGGGATACTGTTTGCCGAAGATTGGTTTGAAACACCGGGAGACGACCCAGCGCCTGACACTATAGAACGATACGACAATGATCTGATGGATGGGCTGGCTTGTGATCCACTCGCTCGCGGGCGGGTTGACGCATCAAGGTCTGGTTGGTACCCACGCTCGTACTTTTTGAGCATCTTGGACATTCGTTTACTGCAAGCACATGACGAATGGCTTGCCTTACTCTTCCGCTTGGAGACAAAGATCAAAGAAGCCGTAAGAACCCCTGGACCTCCATCACGCAATGTAGCCAATTGTTTGACTATCTCTCTCTCTTAGTCCAAAAAATATAAGCATCTTCTCCGCCGCATTCAGTTTTCGGCTCGTGATTTCCGAACAGACCCACGGCACCACAGTCTGTTGCAAGACCTCGACGACTTTGAAGATGCAGTAGTCGACACAGAGGAACTGCTACGGGAATGCGAACAAGCGCTCGAAGAAACCCTGAAATCGCTCAAATCTTTCATGGCAACAGACGTCCACTACTTTTTTGGCAACACTCCAGAGCCGACGGGAGCCGACGCTTGTTTCGCACATCTGTCACAGATACGAAATACATGCAACGCCCTCCATCGATTTCATCGCAAATCAAGGGCACTCCAAACAGACTGCAGGTCAATCCTGAAGGCTGGAGAAGCCATGAGTAAGAAGGTGCGTGGCTGACAACGACTTTGGCGCTGAAGTACTACTTAGTAGATACTTACTCATTTACTCGCACGTGGTTTACTGACGCAAACACGGCTACGACCAGCATCTACGTAGATCGCAGATGGAAAAACTCCAAATAGTAAGTGCGACTACTTGAATCATACTGAACTAATTCCTGACTTTAAAGAACACATTCCAACGACCACATGTTCCTGGGTTCGAATCACTAACCCAAAACCGGTTCCATTATCTTTGGGCAGTCGCCATGATAGCTGGGCTGTTGTCGATCATAAAAGACTCTAGGGCCCTTCACTGGAGTCTTTTGCTTGTTGTGATGTTGATCTCAATGGTAATGTTCCTTTACGCGAGTATGTTACTTCAAACCAGTGTATCTCGAATGGGTTCATCACAGCATGGGTCAATTGGCCTGCGGACTCAAATTCAAGCCAGCAACTACACGCATATAGAGCACGCCACACTTGGAGATACGGTGACAAGGTTCCTCAATTTAGCTTGGCGTGGGTCCTCCGTAGACGTTTTGTCTGGAAGTGCTGCCGAGCTATCGCCCGGTGCATCATCCGAATTCAACGCCCCCCGGCGGCAAGATCCGACAATTCACCATGTGAAGTCACACATCCTGCGTTGGATCCCCAGCGTCCGCTTTCTCAGCATGACCGAAAACAGCATTTCCACCCAACCTTTGGACTTACAAAACTTGGGTCAAATCATCGAATATATTCCTATCTGCCTCCCAGTCGATGGCAAGCGACTTCCCGAATTGAATGACATGAGCTCGCAGGATTGTCACGATGACAGATCTTTTTTCAGTTCGCTCAGAGAGCTATTGCAGAGAGATCGGTGGTTCACCTGGTCCGGTTTCCTTTCGCGAAGTGGTTTGAGGGAGCCGATTGGAATGCATTATGTGGAGGTATGAAGCACCGATCATCTGAGCTATTTGCATATTGAACATCATATACTGAAACCCACAGTATGAACTTTACCATGATGGCTACGTTTCGATACGGGTTCGCCCAAAGGTCCCTCCAATATCAGAAGCGGAGAGATACCGGCCGACGGAGAGCCCGTCGTTCGAGCCTGTGCCGTCGAAACGTCTTATGGATCTGTTCAAAAGCACCGCTGACATTGATGGGAGCGATCGTAGCAATCTCGACCGGATCATTCATCGCATTGACGGGCTGCCTCCTCAACAACGGACGGTGGGGATAGGTTATGGTCTGGAGATTGAAGAAGGTCCGAATTCCAAACTTCTGTGGCTCATCAGGTGGACATCTGTGGTCTTTTGCGTTGTGCTCGGCGTCGTATGGGCGGCCATCTCGGGTGACATCGAGAGTGGCTTTGCGATTTCAACCTGCCTAATAGCGTTTTCGATGGCTAGCGTGGCATTCTTGAAGTTTTCGGCGTCCAGGAGTTATTCGGGCAACGAAGAGACAGGTCAAAACGTGTAAGAAGGGTGCCGATTTCATGGCATGCAAATGTCAAGTCAATACATTTGGACGGACTTTCATGAGGGTAATAACGACTAGTCTGCTAGTCCGAAGCTAGCTCAATCAAATTCCTCTGTAAAGGCATTCGAACTACAGCTGATTAAAGAAAGACTGTGGCCGAATGCAAGGACCCTATTTGACAGTTGATGGGATAGTTCAACGGCTGTATCCCGGAGACAAAATCGCATGTTATGTCAACGAACAAAAGTATGTACCTAAGATAGCCAAGAAGGACTCAGACGAGGAATCGATGAGTTAACAAGACACCTGCCATCCTGGTAATGCCAATCCAAAGTCGTCGCATACCATGCGCGGTAGCCTCATTCAACGACTGGGTGATAGCATCTGCGTCTGCAAGTCTGGAAACCAACCAATCCAACGACGCCGCGTTGGCTGCCTTCGGTGCCCGACCACACCAACGGCCCATTTCGTCACTCCGCTGCTATCGCTGAAGAAAGAGACAATTCTCCCATCGTTTGTGATAGCGCCTGCCTGTTTTCTTTCTTCCACACACACCAAAGCAGGTGGTCACAAGATACTTGCCAGATCCCAGTAACACCATGGCGACTTTGTCAATCAACGGCCTTCAATCTTCACTTGGGAGGCTGAGCCTCGAAAAGCCTCTTCCCTCCTTTCCGGTTGCCGATGTGTTAGTGCGCCCGTTAGATATCTGGCGTTCCTACTTAGCCACTATCGTGGCGGAGGTGGCAGACTGCGAACCAGCTGTTGCATATGAAGCGATTCAGTCTACGGCTGCCATTTCGATGGGCGATCTAGCCATCATTCTGCCTCGTCTCAAGATCAAAGCGAACGCTGAGGCCGCAGCTGCACTGCTAGACAAGGTTATTACTCAAGTGAACGTTGGAAGTACCTCCCTAGGCTGACAGAAAACAAATGCAGTTTCCGAAGTCACCTCTATACACCTTTCCATTCGTCGACGGGGTTCACATCCGCATCTTTTCCTCGCCGTTCTTCCTTCCCAGACTTCTCATCCCCTTCATAGCCGACCGCAAAGAATTGTATGGAAGCGATGAAGTTTTTGGTTTGAGGGATGTGGCATCACCCGAGTCTGGACGCAAAAAGGTCATCGTCGAGTTCTCGTCGCCCAACATTGCACAAGAGTTTGAAGGCAGGCACCTACGTAGCACAATCAACGGTGCTGCTATCGCCAACCTACATGAGCGGATGGGATGGGAGGTTGGTCGATTGAACTTTTTGGGCGACTGGGGCAAGAACATCGCTCTTCTCGCCGTCGGCTGGAACAAGTTCGGCTCGGAGGAAGCCTTTGCCAAAGATCCCATTCGTCACTTACTCGATGTACACAACCAGATCAACGAGCTGTTTAAGCCTGAGCAAGAGGCAAGCGCAAAGGCAAAGGAGGAAGGAAAGAATACAGCCGAGATTGAGTCACAGGGCATTTACGCTGAACGTGATGCGTTCTCCAAGAAATGGGAGGAAGGGGATGCCGATGCATTAGCCCTGACCACCAGGTTCCGCGACGTTTATGTCGAAGATTACACCAAAGCCTATGCTCGTCTCGGCATCAAGTTTGATGAGTATGCCGGAGAGTCACAGTTCACGCCAGAGTCAATTGCGGAAGTTGAGACAGTCCTCAAGGAGAAGGGGATATCCGAGGAGAGCGATGGTTCGTGGCTCATCGACTTCAAGAAGCACGGGGCGAAAGGTCTCGGCACTGGTATGATCCGCAACCGTACTGGCACGACCATGTACTTCTCCCGCGACCTAGCCGCGGTACTTGATCGTGAGAAGAAGTTTGCGTTCGACAAGATGATTTACGTCGTCGCTTCGGAGCAGGACTCCCATTTCCGCTGCGTGATCAAAGCACTCGAGCTAATGGGGAGAGAAGATCTCGCCAAGAAGATTCAACACGTCAACTTTGGCAAGGTTCAGGGCCTGTCGTCCCAACTCGGCAACGCGCACTTGTTGGGAGACATGCTGAACCAATGCGCCAACGCAGTGAGAGACGCCATGGCGACGGAGGAGAATGCTGGGGCCCCTCTTGCCGCCGCGGAGCCTTTCGGCATCACATCGCTTCTTGCTCAAGACATGCACACCAAGCGCAGCAACGGGTACGCGTTCGATAGTAAGAAGATGACTGAGTTCGAAAGCGAGACTGGCGCCCATCTTCAACTTCTTTACACCCGACTTTGTTTGACCATCAAGGAGCTTGGCGCTGACCTGACTGCGCTCGGAGAGATCGACTACGCGCATTTAGAAGAGGAAGAGTACACGAATCTCCTGAGACTCATGGCACAGTACCCTGATGTCATCAACGCTGCGTACAAAACCCTCGAGCCCTCGGCTGTGTTGACGTTCTTGTATCGGCTGGCCGAACAGTTGTTGGTATGTCTCGATGACGATGAAGGCGAGGGTGAAGACGAAGAGGAGGAGACTGCCGATGACCCGGCGCTTGACCTTGCACGAGCGGTGCTGTATGAGAATGCCAGACAAGTCTTTGAGAATGGTATGAAGGTCCTCGGTATCAGCCCTCTGTCTTCCTGATTTCGACGCTCTGATTTTTGTCATTGTTGTAACTCGGGGGAAGGCAGGTTTGGTCATTGTTACATACCACTGAACGTGGTAAGATTGTCAAGGAACATTGGAAGGCGCATGATTTGTTGAAGTGGCTTTGTCATGAGATCATGACTTGACGACAGACATGGGAGCACAATAAGGACCCTAGGCTAGGTGGCAACTGTTTACTGTGTTGCATAGCAAAACTCAAAAATAGTCAATATAATGTTCAGGCTTTTGCATGAAGCACAGTGAAAGTGACGCCTGATGTCTCTCACGCCTGTTCATAGCAACGTACATATAATCTCTTTTCTTGAGCTTCACTTGGGCAGGATGTTCCCAACAATCAGCTGTTCTGTGCCCCAATGATATCCATGGTATGAAATCCTTCACTGCGAACGCTCTTTAGCTTATGTGTTCATGACTTGGTGTACCAACGCGGCTCAGTACGCGGCCATGCTCGACGTCCTGGTTCTTCAGGCCCTCTCACTTCTGGCGGAAGACGAATACGTCGGAAAGAAATAGAGAGAGGCAAGACGGGAAGGTAAGGATGCCAATGCCTGCCTGAACAGATGCGTAGTGGGACCCACTGATGGAAATATCTTCAAGAGTCGAAGTCCTTCTTCTTGAGCTTTCTTCTTCACCACCACATTTGAAGTCAGCCATTCCTACCAACCACAATTTAGGTTAGCCCTCACTTTTCTCATCACTTGGTCCCTCCCTCCTCTCAAAATACACCCACTGCAAATGAATGGAATTTTCCTGCCTTCTAGCAGTGGAAAAAATTCTTCATTATCCTGAGCCTAGTCGCTCCTTCCTGCCTCGAGGTGAGGCCATTGTTTTTATTATCACTTTCCACCACGACCGCGCCCCACCCTCTCGTCTTCCTTCGCCCTCCCTCGCGCTCACCTTCACCCTCATCCTCACCTTTCTTCTTATTTTCTTTCTTGTCTTTTCCTCACCCATCACTTTCGAGATTCGGCTTGTTCACTCTTCGAGCTTCTCATTCTCACCCAGTCGCCTGTGTATCTCGCTCTGATACACCACTAACTGGCGAGATATAGCTAGGTGGCATGAACATTATTGCCCTCATCGCTATCGTATCACAACAACGCGCGCTGTGAGAGCTTCCACAACAAGCTGAATATTGCGGTAGGTAATCTCATTATCTTTGTTCATCCTCGAAGGTGGTTCTGATTTCTTTTTAACGCAGATTCGTCCGCAAACAAAGAAATCCCTTACAAACCATCAACCTCTAGTCGCTCATCACTCCATCGACTCAACCATCATGTCTTCCCGCTCGCGCGACCGCGGTACAACCGTCATCTCGGCCGAAGAGCGCGCCAGACGCATCACGGAGGCCAAGAGCAAGATTCGCGAGAACGCGACCTTCACTCCCGCCCTTCTGGGCCGCATCGAGTCTCGCATCGATTCCAACGCCTTTCGTCGTTGCATCTCGGACAACACCATCTACCAGTCCCTCTGCAACTCGCTCAAGGACAAGAACGTCCCCGAGCGCGAACGTCGCCCCGATCTCGTCGACTTTCTCGCCCTTGAGGCCATCGTCGCCGTCAACTATGACGGTGAGTACAACAAGGTCCTGAAGGACCTCTTCATCCGCTGCAACACCGCCGCCTGGGTCGACAAGGCGGTTCTCGCGGCCAATCAGGAGTGGTACCGCGATAACCTCTCTGATGCCCGCAAGTTCATCAAGACTCTCATCAACAAGGTTGACTCCCAACTCTTGGAGATCATCCTCGAGGACATCGATACTAGCTTCTGGCGTCAGACTCTCAACGACCATGTCCTCTACAAGAAGATTCTTGAGAAGCTCAAGAGCAACCGCGACCTCAGCCAGCGCGACGTTCTCACCGCTGTCGCTCTCAACGGCGGCAAGTACCCGACCGAGGTCTTCCGCCACCTCATCGTCCACCAGAACTCCGCCATGTGCCACTGGGGCAACAACGTCCAGGCCCAGCATGCCCTTTACGAGGATGACGAGTTCCAGGATACTCGGGCTCAGAACACCGTTGTCAGCGACACTATGGCCAACCTTGAGTCCTTCGCTGATGCGATGCATGATAAGGATAAGAGTAAGGAGATCCGAAAGAAGGTCCGCGAGCTGAAGGACATTATGAAAGGAGACCTCGGTCTTCTCCGTCACACCCTGGGTGGCCGCATTCAGAAGAATACTGGCGGAGGTGGAAGAGTCGCCATCGGAGGCATCGGCAACGATCTCACTCGCCTTAACAGCCTTACCGGCGGAGGCGGTACCACTGGTGTCCTTGCTGGAGGTGCTGGAGATACTGGTGGTGTTGCTGGTGTCCATAGTACTGGCGGTACTGGTGGTGTCGGCGGCGGTGGTGGTCACTTGGGTACTGTGGGTGACTTCCAGACTCAGCTTCGCCCTACTCATCAGCGTCATGACTCTATCACCTCTTCTGCTGGCGGTCTCTTTGTCGGCCAGGATGGAGCTACTCCCAGAGGTTACGAGACGCCCCAGAGCCAGATGCAGGGCAACGGAAGCCTTGGTGTCGAGGGTGGTGGTATGGGTGGCTTGGGTGGCTTGGGCAGTGCTCGCCTTCATGTTAAGAGAGAGGCCTTCAGCCCCGGCTCCGACTCTAGGGTTCCTGACCCCTTGAGCCCTTCCTACTAGGAGACTTCTTTCGTGTATACTTACTGCTCAATTTGGGATCGGAAGGGACTAAGGACGGCGGCGGTGGAGGAAGGCCGACTTCTGGATTGATGCCGTTGACTACCCTCTCAGATGAGAAGAGCTGTGTGTTGCCGAACTAAGGCAGAGATTAGTGCAACAAGAACTTAGCTTTCACTTCACCTGCTCTGTGCTCATCTGGATGTGTTTACAAGGTCAAAGCTTCAGAAACGTAAGGATGAGAAGCAAGGACGATGTGCTCTTTATTGCTAGAGTTCCTTGTCTCTACACCTTAGTGAGATCCTGGATTGAACCCTCGATTCACTTTTCTGACTTCGCTGACTTCGGTGCTGCGCTTCCAGCCGTTTTCGATGCGCATCCTACAAAGCCTTTGAATTTCATCACAATGGAAGGCTTTTCTTGTGAACAAGGGCTTTGATTGAATAACATGAGAGTCAAGCTGATAGTTGCATTCCCACTCGATTTGCCTTTTGCTCAGCTCGGGTCGGTCCGCTGACAAGTCTGTGATGGCAAACCTTCTCAATCGACTGGATGACCAGCCAACCCAGTCGACCTCAAACTCTATTCTTGTCAAACGTAGGAATACAAGCGTGACGTAGCGAATGCTTGTTCCCATAGTCGTGAACAATACAAAATGTCAAGTTACTGGGGCCCTGGTGGCTAGGCAACCAAAAGCTTCTGGCTGATCGATGGGGAGGCTACCTCCATAGTTGTGTTAGGCAGCGCGAGTTCAACTTGCCACGGGGGCCGATAGATAGAGTTGACTCTCTCTCTCTCTCGACGTTTCGATGGCACCAATACCACATCGTTAGCGTCCGATATGGGAATCGGATAGGGAACTACTCCATCAACCACATGCGGGTCTGGGCATCGCGGGACTCGGAATGTTGAGGAAATACACTCATAAACTGGGGAACACATGGCTATGGTACCTGATCCCTGTAGAGTCATACGAATTATTTGTACTTTGGAGATAAATACCCAGCCATCATCAATATACCAAGTCGTTAATGATTTTCCGCTCCCGGATCCCCTTCAAACAGCCTCCCCTGGCTCTCTGGGATTGCTCGTAACCACAAACTCCGTTTTCTTCACAATAACCGGCGCGTCAAGATGATAATCGGCACTGCCGTCATCCGACCCCTTGCCTATCCTTGAGCTCTGCACCCCAATATCCCGGTCGCTGTGGTCGATCCCGCTGCCGAGCGGCTGCATACCGCTCATCCCCGGCCGCCAGCTCTGCAGCGCGTACCTGCTTCCGACGTTGCCGCTCTGGCCTGTCTTTCCGTAACCGCTCGCGGCACCGTACTTGTTGCTTCGGCTCCCGGATCTGCTCTTTTCGTTGAAGTATTTGACGAGGGGCGCGAGGGTCGGGATGCAGCAGACGATGATACCGAGGTTGTTCTCGATGGCGGACCACATGATGAGGGGCGAGGAGTCGAGGTAGTTCGCGAGGGCGTGGACGGTTTGGATTCGGATGATTTGGATGACGGTGATGAAGGCGCCGAGGCCGAAGAGGCCAAGGAGAACGAACTTCTTGCGCTTTTGGATCTTGGAGGATGCGAGGACGGGAAAAGGGAGGAACATGCTAAAGAAAACAAAATATTAGCTGGCGTTTGAGTACATGGTTGACTTGGGTAACATACACAATGACATCAAATGCGATCGTTAGAGACGCCATGCTCGTGTAGAAGGGAACTCCGGGGATGCAGGAGCCATTGGTGATCGTGGGGTCCCATTGCTTCGCGATCTATTCTTTGTTAATATCCGTTCTGTCTTGGAACAAGAGATGAATAAACTTACAGGCGTGCACAGATTTATTTGCACCAGCAGGAAGGCAAGGTGATACGCGACGCAGAGGCCAATGGTAACAAAAGTTGCCCACCTGTAGGGACCCTTCGGAATGAAGCGGAGATATGAGAGAAGCAAGCTGATCTTGAATCCGAGAATACTGCTGATGTAGCTGAACTGGATGTTAGTTCTGATTATATCTTGACGAATCCTTCCCAAGGATTTGAGCACTTACAAAGGAGCGCCAGCGTATTGCAGAAGACCGAAGTTATAGAGATTTTGCGCTGGCATGTCCTCCAGCTTTTCGAGACCCAAGCCCCATTTTGTTTCTGCGGGTGGTTGTTAGACGCAAGACAAGTGGTGAAGATTGGAGACCATCGTACGAATAGTGCTGACAATTGCAAATCCGGCAGCCGCAAACCATGTTGCAAAGATGACCCAGTCATCTATCGCCGACAAGTTAGTGCTCTGTCCAAAGGTCAAATCATCCAAGTTGTAAACATACCTGAACCAGCGGCCTTGA